AAAATCTCCATCCATGAACTCAATCGTTGCTACCCTGTTCCCTGAAAAACACAGGCATGAGTCCCTATTCCCGAGTGGATATAGGTTACATCCATCCATCAAGACATCGGAACTCGCTAAATCCTCTTCCCACATGGCATCCACGATCGACCAAAGCATTCTTCGGCGCTCAGGCCAAGTGAGGCTTCTACTGTAATTTTCCGAGTTGGATCTTCTGGGGAATGTGCCAAGCGAACAATCCCCATCTATAACGTGTATCCACCAGATGAAACATCATGATGAGTTCATGGTGATGTGGACTGCCTTGGGGAGACTGAGTAAAGAGCCTGAAACCTTTGCGGAAATGGTCGGCTATGTGAGTGATGAGGAATGTTGACGTGGCGCCGCATGTTTGGTGACTGGATCTTGATCGCCAGGGACGATGATTTCTGCGATGGTTCAGAGCTAATCGTTATTTGGGCTGGAAGACAGGAGATCTTACTCCGGCCAGCATAGTAATTTCTAGATACAAGGTTGAAGGAACTGACATTGTCTCAAAAGAAGGACTTGTTTATTGGGTATTAGATCTAATCGAAAAATACAAACGCCTCTAATATCACTGTCTGCTTTTAGTATCTAGTTTACATAACAATGCAACGACTTCCATTGTCCCGGACTCGCTCGGTTATGGTGATCGTGTAGTCGTTTGCTGGAACTCTCTGTGCACTCTTATGCCCTGCAATATCTCCTCACTGCTCGAGTTCCCACCGTCGACTTTGGCGTTGTATGTCGTAGTAGTAAGCTCAAAGCCCTCAACATCAGGCCTTAGTTTAGTGTTGACTGGTGCTGATGTCTCTGTGAATTTCGGCCCCTTGATCAAATCGGTAGAGTCGTTGTCGTCTGGTAGTCTGTAGAACGCATTCGTCGATGCAGAGCCGTTGGAACTCCTGCCAGCGCCGGTATTCTCGTGGGACTTGAGACCCTTTGTTGACTTGTCGCTTGATTTTCTGACGGTACTGCGGACTGTTGATGCGAAGCTGCTGAGGCCGGTGAATTTGGCGACGAGTCGGAGAACTGGTAGCATTGTTGGAAGATTCGCCGAGACAATACCGGCTGACATTTCGATCTCGGTCCATCCTACTGTAGGAGCGAGAGTATAGCTTGGATCAGTGCTAGTGTAGGTGAAGAGAACGCTGGTTCGATAGGCCGAGGCGAAGACGACGAAAGATCCAATGGCGAAAGCAGCTGTTAGACCGAGCTTTTCAGATTTGCCGAGCTGAAGTTTCCAGATAGGAGGCAGTGGTAGACACAAGATGACAATATCGGTAAAAATCGTCGAAGCGGCGTTGGCGATCCATGTTCCGACTTGGTTGATACAATGGCCAGGGAGATCGGGATACCAGAGCTTGGCAACTGGGATGCAGATGAAGATGAAGAGAAAGGTGATGGTGATGACCCAAGCAAAGACAAAGGTTCCAACGAGCCATGCCATCTTCTTGAAGTAGGGGACACGGAAGATTCGGTAGTACATGAGCAAGAGACTCAGCTTCGTCCAGCCAAGGTTCCAAGCGTAGAGAACTTCAGCGACTACTAGCCATTTTGCCATCATCACGATTTGCGAGGGAGGGACTTTGTCTGCGTGAATGCCCATTCCGTTGGCGTGCATGGCGAAGATGAATCCTACAACGACCAAATTCCACGCCTGAACTGTTAGACTCGGGTTGTATCTAGCATACAGAGTGTACCTACCATGGAGAATAGAATAACATAGTCATCCCACCAAAGCTTCTGCGCCTTCAAGTGCCGACTATACAACCGAAGACCACAAGAAACCAACGCCAAAACAGTCATAGAGACAACGACCTCGACAGTCCATGGTTGAATGTTGTGCTTGTCGAAGCCAGGAAGGCCTGGGAGCTGAGACTCGGCCATGATAAAAAAGAATCCTTACAATGAACAAAAAAAAGAGAACAAGAGCTAAAATGGAATAAAGGAACGGAGTATTTTTAAAACATAATGTATTGTTCACAGGAGAGTAACAGTATCAAGGGAGTGGAACCGATGGTCAAAACTCATTTGACAGCTCATATTCCAGCCTAAAGAAGGATAGAACATGACTTTGACTGGAAAAAGCAATGGAACCCAAGGGTCTGGTTACCAGACTCTGGTATCAAGTTGGGTAAAGGCTCGACGTCTAGGCTAGAACGTGGGTTGTGGATTCATTTCCGCACAGCCGGGAAAAGGTCTTCCACCCTGTCCAACTATCCTCTCATCGGTAGACTTAACCGGCAATGAAGAAAGTAAGGCGAGACACAGACGCTATAGTGAGACATCTATTAATGAGTCCATCATGCTATCGTCAAACTCGTCCAATGTCATTTTCTTCGTGATACTTCTTTCATGCAGAGTCATGCTTCAGCTCGGATATAAAACTGACAGGGGTTTATGTAAGTGAGCCGACTGGGCCGATCACGCAGTGGCGAGCTTACACGATATTTTTTGATAGATATTTGCTCATAGGGTAGTATTCTTCCTATCTTCCTACAGGGGACCGATTCAGGAACACGCACAACTTGTGATGCATAAGAATTTTTCATGTCGTTTTGTCTCGGGAATAGTCGTTCCTGCGCCGTGGCGTCGGTGTTTTTTAATCCCTGTGCCTGTCAGCACTCTAACGTATTTCTTCACCAATGAGTTTCACAATGTGGGGAATGCCGAGGAGCAAAAAAACGTGTGAAACGAAACACTACCTGCAGAGTGATTCCGCGCGTCAAAGTATGTGATATCTTGAACCAACATGCATTTCGTTGTTGGTCAAGACTACAACAGCAGAATAACCTCGACGGTCCGGCCCGTTTTCTAAAAACGCTCTGAATGTCTGATCACAGTAGACTCTTTCTCCATGCGGGCCTTTCGCCAATTCCGCTCGAGTCCGGCGCGGAACGGCGCCGTCCATCGCACGGAGAAGTATCCCCTTGCGGATCAAGGTCTGGCCACCGACTCAATTCTGCGCATGTCCTAGCCCCCTGATCGTCGCTAGGTACAACACACGTTTCCATCGGTGGGTTGTCGTGAGAAGTACATAGCATAGCCCAGTTCTCTAGCTCTTCTTTCGGACGCATACCAAGAGATCTACCTCGATACCTTTTCCATTCATCACACCAGGAACAATAACACTGTGCCGTAACTGAACATATTGTTTACTTTTTGCAAAAATGGCTGCCAAATCTACTATCAAGGTTCCCCACCTCGGAGGCATCGATGCCGGCTATCGTGTCTCGGGCTCTGGCATCGACTCTAGCAAACCTACCCTTGTGCTCGTCAACTCCATGTGCACCACATCCTCTCTCTTTGAAGCACAGTTCTCTGCCCAGGAACTCACTGACAAGGTCAATCTCCTCGCCATCGAACCCCTCGGCCATGGCGCTACAAGCTCAAAGTCAGAGCACTTCACCTACTGGGACTCAGCCATCATGAACCTCCAGGTCATGGAGGCTCTTGGCGTCGACAAGGCTTTCGCTCTGGGAACAAGCGCTGGCGGCTGGATCGTCGTTCGCATGGCTCTTCTAGCCCCTGAAAAGGTACGTTGCTTCTTCTCAAGTACAAGTCCACACTTCGGTAGTGGCCTTTTTTACATACCCGGTTACGTTAAAGCCCCCCTGACTTACACACACCCGTTCCACTACCACAGATCCTCGGCCTTCTCCCGCTTGGCACGTCCATGGACTACGAGTCCGCCGAGTCTCGCGAGAAAGGCTGCTGGGACCCCAAGACGCAGCTTGGCCCCTTCTACGAGAGCTGGCACAGCACTACGCCCACGCCAGACTTCGTCGTCGATGACGTTTGGCGCGGTCTCGTCTCGTCGGTAGGCTTCGGAAGCAACCCGTCTCCTGAAACGCTGGCGTTCTGGGACGAGACGCTCAAGCAGGTCTATCG